AGTTACTCACCAGTACAGGTACATTTTATTGGCAATTGCCAGATTAATATGTTATGTCAGCCCATTATGTATTGGTATCAGCATGTTTTATTAACATTTTACGTCAGGTTGAAAGAAATACAAAATTAACATATGTTTACTATTTATTATAACATGCTTCTCTGTAAACTAGTTTTTCTTCTCTAACAGATCCTTTTCTGAGATGAAAGCACAAGGTCAGGCCCCGAGTTTAATAGTTATTAGTAGAATGTTATCACTGTAAGCACAGTTTAGCACATAGTTGGCTGTACATTACTCTTATCTTTTCTATGCTGTTTATTATTAATCACAGTTGCTCATTTAGAATTTCCTCATCTTAATACAACTGTTAAGTTTGTCAAACAAATACATTTATCATCAGAATAATTGTAAGTAAAGGCTATTTTCAGTTATGTAATGCAACATATATTACAATTTTCAGCACTTCTTCCGCCTCAACTGACAGTGAATCCACCGGTGATCACAGAGACAGACTCAGTCACTCTGAACTGTCAGACTCCATCATCTGCTTCTGTGACTGAGTGTTATTTCCGTATAGTAAGAGGAGGAACTGCCAAAAGCTTCCCTTGTCTTCAGACACTGACAGGAAGTGAGCTGCTGAAGATGTCAAATCAGAGTTCACCTGCTGAGGTTAAAGTGACGTGTTTTTATCTTAAAGTGTTTCCATCTCCTGACAGTGACATGTCCTCCATCATCATTCGAAGTGAGTAAACACTGTTGCTGTGGACTAATGTTAGGATATCTTGCTACAGTACGAGCACATGGGGGTTGGGTCCTAAAAAGAAGAAGAGATAGACGATTTAGAATGGATATCCTGTCTCATTATGTATCAAAATACTTATATTAGATCAATGCAATTGTCAGTTAGTTAATCAAATTTATACTTACAATTTCACTTTACTAAACTTTCAGCATCTCGTCCACCAAAACTGACAGTGAATCCACCGGTGATCAATGAGACGGACTCAGTCACTCTGAACTGTGAGGCTCCATCATCTGCTTCTGTGCCTCTGTGTAGTTTCTTCACTTCAAGTGGAGGAACCGTCAGATTCCCCTCTTGTCTGCAGACACTGACAGGAAGTGAGCTGCTGAAGATATCGCAACAGAGATCACCTGCTGAGGTTCAAGTGACGTGTTTTTACACTGTGAAGCTTGGAGCGAAAGATTATCCATCTCCACACAGTGACACATCCTCCATCACCATACATAGTGAGTGACTGTTTCTCACATCTGATATTATTATCATGTATTGATACAGTATCAGCACAATAAAAGTGATGTGGTACTATAATGCAGGTGGGAAATTGTTTCCAGAGGTTACAAACATAAAGAAAGAGAGAGAGACTGATTTAACAACCTCCATTTCTATCAAAATGCTAGTTTGGTTTCTAGTTTTGTGAAAATAACTGCTCAAGAGTTAACACAAATATGATATCACACACAGTTTACCACACATGAAAGTGACAGGTTCAAATTCACCTTCCTTTATAGATATTGTGGAAATGGAGTCACACAAGACGCAGACTATGTTTTTTTTTGTCTCAACCAGTAAGGCATCACTGTGGTAGATGTGATCTAAATATACAGTGCCACACATAGGGGCATCATAAATGTGTGTGTGTTCCTGTGGCCTTTCTGTCAGTTTAATTCACTTCTTATGCTCGCTGTGGTTTTTCTGAGAACATGCTCTGTATGTGAAATTTCACATAGTCAGACACAGAAGTATCTTCTTTCTAGTCAGTCTCAGTATTTGACTTCATCATGGCTGGACGCCTGCTGTTTGTCATCCTCATGTGTAAGTTAAACCTCCTATAGATTCTCTTATTATTTATGTTGTCTACTTAGCTTACTTGCAAACATGACATTAATATATAATGTCTTCCATACAGTATCACCATGAAATATCATACTTATGTTTTATCTTTTTTATGCTTGGTGATTTGATGTTGTGTGTGGTGTTATTGCCTGTGTTGTTGCTCTGTGGTATTTATTTGTGAACTTATTGTAGAACTGCAGTTCAGAGTCAAAACTAATTTCCTCATTTGGACAAACAAGTGTCTTGATCTTGACTCCAACGTATGTTTGACAGATTTTCACATTGGGTGGAGTTTTAATCCTCTACATTGTTTTGAAGGTATTAATGATGCTTAATGTTTGCCGTGTCAACACTTTGTATTTCCAACAGATTCCTTTCACAAGATTCAAACACAAGGTCAGACTCTGATCTTTTCTCTTTCATGTCTAGCTGTGCTGTTTTCACTATAGGGGAGTTTATTATAGTCTTTAATTATTTAATATTGACTATTTTTTATACTATTTTACACCAGGAATTTACCAACCTCAACCTAAACTGATAGTGAATCCGCCGGTGATCACAGAGATGGAAACAGTCACAAACAGTCAGACAAACATCACAAATTATGGTTTTTATTCATGTGTTATGTCATTTGAAATGTTTCTATATGATGCTGTGACAGCAGAATCAGAATTGTGTATATTAGCCAAGTACAAGACATTTTCCGACAGGACAGTTGGTTTTGAGGACAGTGACGGACGAATAAAGTGCTGCAGATATTACATATTTGTGTAGCTGTGGTGTCATAATGAGGTTATTAGGAGGAGGTTCAACTGTAGTAGGACAGCACTGAAGGCCCAGGTATAAAATACACTGCCCGCTACTGATATATTAACAAGAACAAGTATTTCAGTATGGACCAAAGTGGCCATTGCCATCCCTAAGGCCATTCCTCTGCCATGGATAAAATCAACTTACACGTTCTCTGGTTTCTTGTTTCTTTTTAAAGGTTCTTTGCTTAAGTCACTGCACAAATAGGAGGTAAAATGCAAATTGTTATTTATTTGTACATCTGTAAAATTGACAGACACAAATCCGTTTCCTTTTACTGTAGATATTGTGAAAAAAGAATCAAGCATGACCTCCACAGACTCAGCATTTACTAAGAACAAAGGTAGGACTTATCATAGCAATCCAGAATATCATCACATATTACTGTAGAATATATTTTCTAAAGTTTTTGTGTGTGCATTTATTCACCAGATCTTACTGATAGCAGGTCTACTGCTTCCACTTTTGGAATTACTGGGAAACCAGTATCAGGTAACACAATTATAGATGTATTACATGTGACATTTATTAATCACAAATTGTTTCTTCTCTTGCTGCCTGCTCAGCGACTGTACAAATACCGTCCCACACTGTTGTTCACACATGAAGCTGACAGGTCCAAATCCATCTTCTTTTGTTGTAGATGTTGTGGAGTCAAACACGACGCAGACTAAGCCGGTATCTAGTATGACCACAGGTAGGACATACATTTTAAATAGAAATCCAGATCATTATCACAAATCACTTATATATTTGTTATTTTTATTCAGCAGGTGTTACTGTTAGCAGGCTCCTTGCTTCAACTCCTGTAACTCCTATGAAACAAACATCAGGTAACAAAATTACAGGTACATTAAGTCGGACTTTAATGAATCACACATATGTGTATTATGCTATATGTGAGTGCTATGACTGTTTTCTCTCTTAAATGTTTTTCTTTTATTTGAGCATTTTGACAAACACACATATACAGGAGCACACACATAATATGAACACAATATACGCTTTTGTTTTCTTTATCATATTTAAATAACAATAACAGAAATAACAAATTACAAGTATTAATAATTATTTTTCAATGCAGTTTTCTTCTTTCACCAGATCAGACTGTTGGATCAAGCAACACTGGCAGTTTTATTTCTACTTCCCTAACACCAGTAAAACCAACATCAGGTGACACAAATGATCAGTTTCTTAATTATTCACAGTGCCTTTTTATTGTTTATTGAATATTTTAACTATCAACACTCCTATTAATATATTACCAGGAGACAATATTAAAGGTGACTGCATCATATGCTGAAATTCTTTGCGATGAATGTTTTTTTATTTTTTTATTTATGCCTGTAAATACACTTCTTAAGCCGAACATTAGCGCTCTCCCTGTAACCCCATCAGGTGAGTAAAAAGTAACTTACAGATGAGATGCAATTCATTTTATTTAAGTATTTCCTTCTTGCAAAATGTGAACAAATACTTTAATAATAATGATTTAATATTATATTGTTAGAAATGGTCCCCACCTCATCAACAGTGCATATCATGTATTTCTGCTGGGTTTGAGTCGTATGTATTGCTCTAAAGTGTCAAAGTGAAGCCACCTTATTCGTGATTATAATCCTGAATTCAATGATTAATCATGTTCACAACTTTTTTTTTACAAGTTAAATTTATATCAGTTGCAAAGCAACACATTGCTCCTCATTGTTTATATTTGGGGTGCCATTAGTAGGCATTCAGTACACACACCTCCATGCTTTTGTGATAAAGGTGAAACTGAAACTGACTTGGTGGTGGCTTCCAAAACAGAAACTTGGACATGGAAGTTCCTGATACTTGCAGCTTGTTTGGGAGGTGTTTTCTTACTGGGACTGGCACTTCTCTGTACCAAAAGAAGATTTGGTGAGAACTTGATTCATGTGTCTGTAAAGATCGAATGATTTTTTTGCTCCCTGCTGTTTGTGGGAGCTCTCAAATAATCTGAGCAGAGGGCCAGGCTAAAAGAGCTAAAGCCCCTTTTAAACACACGCATGCACATAACTCTCTTTTTAATAAACAATATAAATGACCACATATGCATGAATATGATTGGACGTCACTAGTCACCCGTGCAAGCCAACCAAGCATTTCATAAAAAGCTGATGCCAAGCACAACTTCAGTGCTCTGCCTGAACTAACGATAGGCTTTTCTCTCTTTTTCATTTTTTCAGGAAAATGTTCTAACAAGAGGTAAGATTTTGTTTTACTTTTTCAGCAAAAGCTGAGTGAGGACTGATTATTTAATTTCAGTTCAACTTGTTCACTGCAAGTATAGCTGCAGCAGGACGTTAGTTGTTGAAATGAGTGGAGAGAGTTCATTCACCATCCTCAACTTCCCCATTAAACCCTAAGCTTTAGTAGTGGCCAGTGGTCTCAGATGTGTTTGGAGAAAGAACAGTATCCCTCTGGATATTATGTTTATTGTCCTACAGTGCATTCTGCTTCTTGTGTAATGAGGACACACTCACTCTGTATTAACACTTGTTCCCCTTTTATTTCTGTATAGGTCACAAGCCAATGTCACCGGTAATGTGCACATGTAGTTAGGCATCATCACTGTATTATTTCTTTACACATTCGTATATTGCATTTATATTTTGGTCTTTGATTGAGGTGTGTTTTTCCCGATGTTGCAGATGACTTAATGAGCATGAGAAATCTTGAACATGGAGGATCGGTAATTGATTAATACATTTTTTCTCTGTCAGATGTAACATTCACATCACCCAAAATAATCAAATTATTAGCCATTCAAACAGCAAGGCTCCTCAAGATGGATTACAGTAATGTGTCAATCTCCTCTTTTTCCTGTTATCTTTAGTTACCTGCAGATGCTGAGGGAGCCTACAGTACGATCACCTCAGTAGCTGCTGCTGACTGTCCTACTGGTGGGCTGCTTTTCTCTTTACACCTACATGAATGTATACATGAATACATCCCCCTGTACCCTGTAAAGGGTGGAGATCAGGTTTTTATTCTTTATATAATGTACATTATGTACAATAAAAAAATAATCACAATTGATTTGCAGCATTAGTTGTTGGCAAAATATACCAGAAGGTGTATGACTAATATAGTTAGATACCTTTATAACAATAATAATTTTATTATACACTTTAATTGAATATGCACTACAACTACAAACAACCCCAAACCATTTTAGTGTATGTTTGTAACACAAACATTTATCCCAAAAACAGGCTTTTTTTCCACAATACTTTTACTGGCTTGTGTTATAGGCCAATATTTATTAACTGAAATCGTATTAAAGATGACTAAATTTAGGAGAGCACAATTCCCATCACATTCTAAACATACTGTAGATCAGTATACTGTTGGCTTTTTACAGACGGTGCAATAAAATGCCAAACTTGACAGAAAAGAATCATCTTAGTGTGCTTCTCTCTCACATTTGCAGGTTCTGAGAAACTGAAGGAGCAAGCGCCTCAAAATGAGGACGTAAGTGAGATTTACACAGCGTTGAATATCTACTCCACCATCTCCGAGCAGCCACCTGCATCAGCCCTGGAGGACATGGTGTACAGCACCCTGCAGCCACATTGATGCACAAACCTTTTACACTGTGTAGAGAAACAGAACGCAGACAGCATAAAGAATTATTTTTAATCCATTTTTAATTTTATTTAAGTTCATTTTTAAACTCTTCATGTTTTTTGTAAAATTGATAATATATGTGATCTGGTGTTGACCTGTGAAAAGTCTTTGACGCAATCGACCGTGGAACCTTTCCAGGCTAAAATCAACTGTCATAAATTAAACAGTTCTCAGCTGGGTGGCTTTTAGCTGACGTTAGCACACTTCATATTTTGTTTTACAGAAAGAAAAGATTATTGGATTTTGATATAGAAATACGGAGAAACTGATGTTTGCATTCGTGGTTAAATAGTAGGTGCAAAAAAGAGCGGAGATATGATCTATAAGGGTAAAAAGGCTTCTTCATTTAATCTCGTCTTGTATTCTTCACAATTGTTATTTTGTGAAGTTGGAGGGTGTTTATAGTCATAACACCAGATTATAGCAAACTTAAATCTTTAAAGATTCAAGTCAAAGATGGGAAAGCATAAGCTTGCTACTTTAGCACCTGTAACACAATGCCTGCTCGACAGAATGTGGATATCTATATTTATGTTACTTGGGAATTCACTGCATTTGCATCTTGAACCATGTCTTTTAAAAATAAGACAACCGTCTGTTATAACGCGTTTCTTTTTTCTTTTCTTTTTCTCTGGGGCCACTTCACAAGTTAGTGTACTAAACTGCTGGAAATAGTGGACTTGCTAGCAAGTATAAACGGGTAACCATTAGTGATGCTGAATGGCAAGGGGAACACCGCCTATTATCAACCTAGCTTACTTCCTGTCACACAGTTAAATGACTAGCAAGAGCGCTGCATGAGTCAGGTTAAGCGAGGTGAAGTGCATGCTGGTAGATTAAGGCAGAAACGTAGGGTCTTTGTTTGCCCGCAGGTAAGATGGGGCTTCCCCGCCTGCTACATGCAGGTTGCAGGTTCACATGCCTGTTAACAAATCATGCATGTTTTGGTTCAGAGGCCATCTTTCAAGTTATCCTCCCAATATACAAGAATGAGCGAAATGCAGATTTCTGTGTTGAATGGTCGGGACAAAAATGGGAAATAACTACATGTTTGTGTGTGTCTAATCACGCAAAATATGAAAATAAATAGATAAGAAAAAGCTATGAGCTATGGCTCACTGGCATACACTTTTGAGGCGGTCCCTAACTTCAGTACCTCATTTTACCTCTCTGTCAAGTTGAGCACATCTGATCTATATTACTGCAAGAATTCAAATGTTGTTTGTATCTCTTAAGAGCACATTACCTACCTGTCCATATCGGAATAATTTGTTTATATTCGTTTAAGTCAGCACTAGTCCTGTCAGTTTAGAAAAAGTAACAAGTAAAAAAACCAATATGAACAACAATAAGAAAGCAACTAATGGAGAAACTTATTTGTTTTAACCAGTAAGCCATCACTGTGGTAGATGTGATCTAAATATACAGTGTCACACATACTGGAACTAAATAAAAATGTTCAAGTGCATCTGTGTTCCTGTCACATTTCTGTCAGTGTGGTTCCCTTGTGATTCTGTCTGTGGTTTTCCTGAGAACATGGTCTGCAGAATGACACATTCTGAATGTGACAGTCCACGTAGACAGAGACACAAGTGTTGCGTTTAAAGGACTCTTGGACATTCACATTATTCTGCTTCATCATGGCTGGACGCCTGCTGTTAGTCGTCCTCATGTGTAAGTTGAACCTTTTTTAATTTTTTTTTCATTGTAAATTTAGTTACTCACCAGTACAGGTACATTTTATTGGCAATTGCCAGATTAATATGTTATGTCAGCCCATTATGTATTGGTATCAGCATGTTTTATTAACATTTTACGTCAGGTTGAAAGAAATACAAAATTAACATATGTTTACTATTTATTATAACATGCTTCTCTGTAAACTAGTTTTTCTTCTCTAACAGATCC